TGGACTGGCAATGACTGGTTCCCTTGGGGCTGCAATCGCCGGTTCTTCGCGAATTGCTTGAGGGTCCCAGCTAATCCCAGTAATCGATTTCAGCAACTCTGAATCATATCGATCTTCTTCTGGCTTTCTTCGAATGGACTGCACTGTAAAAACACCTGTGGAATTTCCTACTATCTTCTCTGTGGTGGTGTCTTTCACTCCTAGAAAAATTCCTTTGGTCCATTGGGCCTCGAACTTGTGACCTCTCTTGAGGTATTCGATGGCCTCACCGAAAGGTGGAATTCGGTGGAATTGCTACTTTCCATTCACGTCCACGAAGTCGTGAATACGGAGTCTTTCCGTCTTGAAGTTCGGTGGATCGGAAAAACAGATTGTAGACTGTGGATGCGTGTTCAACTAACCAGGTCAAAACAGGTGAATCGTCAGGAAGTTTCTCACCATAGTTCGACTCGATCGCGGCTCGAAGAGTCCTGGCTTGTCCTTCCAAGGTTTGAACTGCTCGTTCAATCTCTCCCTTGGATTCTTTGACTCCTTTCGGGCTCTTCTCGATGATCAGGGTTCCTTCAAACCCATTTACTGCCTCAACAACAGAGGTGAGAGCAGGTTCAGGATCATGTCGAATGATCAGTTTGGAGTATCCTAGTTTCTTGATGTCGTTCAAAAGTACTTTGGATCCATATGGACCTTTTGTCACACCTTTGTAGGGCAACACATGAGCAAAAAGATGCTTCGTCCATCGATCTCTGACAACCAGAATTGGTGCATGAGTCTTCTCGTCCAAAACTACATCATCAGTTCGTGAATTCATGAAACAGTAGTCTACAGTTACAACTGGTGTTGTCTCGTCCGTGTGGTCTACTCTCCTGTGTGGGTTTGCCTTGGCCTTTCCCCTAACACAGGCTTCACACCAGGAACGAAAAGGGAAGTGTGAAACAACGTGTTCCTCGAGCTCTTTTCGCATTGGGCGACCTGGAGCGTTGATCTTGAGCTCAGGCGGAATCTCATCGCCTGGCTCGGCCTCAGCGGCTTCAAAATCTGCCGGGGCCTCTTCGTCCATCACCGGACTTACCCACTTCGGTGCTGGGGTGAAATGGTGGAACGCGATCGGCACGGAGTAAACTCCGTTGCAAAGGAGATCGGGATCTTCTTCCCATCTCGAGCAATGTGTCCTCCAGTCTTGCTCATCTGGATGGACCAGCCCTTGCCTGCGAGGGCTCCTGCAGAAAGCAACGGCTTGGCGACAGCCATCACCCGAAAACTGCAGCGTCCCTTCAGGGCTTCCTTGCCGATGCCAATCGTCACCTTGGCGTCGACTTTTCCGAGATCCTTTACGATCTCGCCTGAGGCAGTCTTATAGACCTTGCTGGTGCCTTCAGGCTGGATAGGCTTGTAGCCCAGTGCTTCGGCGAGTTCGACAGGGATGCAGGACGTAGCAGCTCCTGAATCCAAGGTCACTTGATGAGCCATTGGCGTTTCCATGGATGCCAGCTCCAAACTCTTGAGAGCGAGTGGATCTTCATCGCCTTCCTCAGGCTCGCTTGAAGGTGTGGGATATCGCTTTCCCTTTCCCTTCTTGGCCTCGCGGGCAGCTTCCTGAGTGGGTCAACTGCACTTTCTTCTGCTTGCCCTTCTCCTGGCCCTTCTGATGGCCCTTATCGGAGGCCGCCGGAGCCGAAGCGGCTCGGCTCTTGCCCGGGGATCGAGACCGGGACTTCAATCGAAGCGTCTGCCTTGGCGCTTCGCTGGACTCCTCTTGCTTGGGTCCTGGTCCACGGAATCGCTCCATGTGCTCTTCAGTCGAGCTTTTGAACCAGACCATGCGCTCCTCCTTGGTCTTGCCCTTCTTCTCAGGAGGTGGAGGTGTCTTGGCGATGCGCCTCTGCTTTGGCGTCTTTGGGCCAACATCATCTTCCTCCTCCTGCTCTTCCATCATTTTCTGCATATAGGCAGTCATGTAAAAAGGAGGTTCTTTCTTGACAGTCTCAAGCTTTGGATCTTCCATCTTCAAATGCTTTGCCACGTCTTCGGGCTTCAGATCCATATCGGCATCTTTCACATGCTTTGGTGCGTCTTTGGAGGTTGGACTACCTCGCTGTCCCTTGGCAGTCTTGATGCGCTTCTGCTTGAGAGTCCATTCTTTTGCCCATTGATTGAGGACTTTTGGTGGGCAACAATTCAAGGCCATGTGATGATTCCATAGGCCAGTGTCATTGTCACACTTCAGGGCCTTGTTGCATGCACGGCAAACCATGTGCTTGCTGCCATCTCTGTTCTTGTGGGTGCATTTGGCTACCCATTCATCATAGCTGAGGATGCGCTCTTGGAACATGTGATCGAGCCATGGCACGGTATCTTTCTCTTTTTCTTCTTCTTGCCCATCTGACTCATTGTCAGCGGGCTCTGCGCCATTCTCATCCTCTTCAACTTCATCTTCAAACTCTTCTTCTTCTTCTTCGAGTCCCTCGATCTCAGTCACATCAAGGGGATTGATGTTCTCCATGACTGGAGCTGCGAAGGATGGTGCACTTGTTGCTCCTTCACCTTGGCTTTCGATGCGCTTCATCGCAATATACTCCTCTGGGTTGAACCCAGCAGCAGTGAGCGCCTTTTCGATGACACTGCGGGCTGGATGGCTAGTAGCCGTCCATGTTTGGCTTTCCCGCTTCATCTCTGCCAACTCTTGAGTGGAAAGATTTTCGATCTTGGGCTCCATCTCTTTTGGCTTCTCAGGCTTCTTTGCCTTTCCTGGCTTCTTGTAGCCACGATGCCTCTGGGCCCTTTCTCGACCTCGAGGCTGAGGGGCTTCATCAAACTTTCCCTCATCATCTTCATCATCCCAAGCTTGAAGTCGACCAGTACCCTTGGCACGAGCAATCTCATAGTAGTCGAGCTCCTCAGGGTAATTGGCCTCATAGTCGCGCCAGGATTCGAAACGATCCTGGGCCTTCTCAACGCGATGCTGCTCGGCGCGCTGACGGCTCTTCTCTTCCTTCTTGGCCAATCTTGGGTCCATACCTGATACCAAATCAGCTGAGAGCCTTGGCGACTCCGCCGGCACCGAAGCGGCGCGGCGAGGAGTTGGCCTCTTCAGCAAGATCTTGGCTTCTCTCTCCTTTTCTTCGTACTGCTCTTTCAGCCTCTTCATCTCGGCCTGTTGCTCCAAGATGGCGTCATTGGCTGCTTTGCCTTGAGCTTCAGCCTCTTCAATGGCCTTCTGGATTGTCTCAGACTTCTTCTCATACAATTCGCGGTTGGACTGCATGGTCTCTTGGATTGCTTGGTTCATGACAGCAATCCCAGCAGCTGCAATTCCAGGACGACCTTTTCCAGCTCCTGGCTTCTTTGGCATAGCCTTGACTTCAGTCTCAACTTTTGCCTTGGCTGCTCCACGAGAAATTGCGGCAGGTGCTGCTTTCTCCATCTCGATGGCAAAGAGGGTGGCGATGTCAGCGGAATACTCAGGCTCGGGTTGATGCTCTTGAGCCATAGAGGTTTCAGATTCCTCAACTGAAGCTACCTTCTTACTCTTACTCTTGCCTTTACCTTTAGAGTCTTTTCCTTTGCCACCTTTGCCTTTACCCTTGGAGTTTTGGTTGTACCAACTACTCCTGTTCCAATCGTTCCTATACCCATCATTCTTGTTCCATGAGGGGTTCCATGAAGAGGAGTTGGACCATGAAGAACCTTTTCCCTTCTGTTTACCTTTGTCGTTTCCCTTGCCTCCATCTTGACTCTTTCCTTTTCCTTTGCCGCCTTTTGAGCCACCTTTGCCTTTTCCTTTGGCTTTGGCCAGACTTGCAAGTGAAGCTTGCATCTGGCTGGCAGCTGCGGCTAGTGCATCAACATCCATAGGCGCTGATCCAGTCTTTGCTTCTCTTCGACTCTCGATGTTCTCGAGGTATGCCAAAATCTCTGACTTCATGATGGCATAGTCAGTGAGTCTTGAACTCTGGAGGTCAAGGTGATCTTGGAGTTTGGATGGACACATCTGCTGAAGACAACTTCTTGCGATGTCATCATCAAGAGCTTTCTTCTTTCGCTCTTCGTACTTTCGCCTGATGTTTTCCCAGGCTTCTATGCTCTCTCTGAGCTTGTCCAGTGCACACTGTTGTGGGTGCAGGACCTTCTTCAGCAAAGCTGAGTTTGCTTGTGGGTTCTGTGGATCATACTTAGTGATCAATCGTCTCAAAGCCTCTAGGCCAAAGTGCTGACCTCTGGAGGTATTCTTGACAATCTCGAGGGCTTCTCCCTCACACAGTGAGATCAGACCCTGTCGGGCCTGAGCTGAAACAAGCTCGGCTCCTTCAGGATAATCATCTTCCAGAGATGTCTCATTGATCTCTGTGTCTTGATGCTCTTCGAGGAGCTGAATGCACTTTCCTGCATTCTTGTGACTTGTTTCAATCCAAGTCTTGAACTTAAAGTACCACGAGTCCCAGGTACCTGTGTGTCCACTGAACTTGTCAGGCTTTGGAATGCCTTTCAATTCTGATCTGTCTCTTACTTCTACGCTGGTGGCTATGTTCCTTGTGATTGCCGTTTGTTGTGTGTATGCTTCTGCCATTGCTCGTTGCAATTGGCTCTGCCCCTGTGCTAGGGCTTGCATCATCTGTGCAAATTGTTGTGCCATGTCGGTGGCTTGTGGTGCCTGTGCTCCTGGCTGTTGCGCCATGTTGACTTGCTAGCCAGGGATTGAAGCAATCCGGCTTTCCTGCAAGTGATGCTTGTGTTTGTAGATTTCCGGTGCCAGAGCCGATGCGGCTCGGCAACCTTCGATTCGCAGACGGTAGCCGGGTCTTAGAACCGCGGCTCCGCTACCATGAACGGAGAATTTAGGCTCTTAAACTCTGTGACCCCAAGTCACTGTCCCAAAGGTTGTAGTTGAAGCTTAGACCCACTTTTAGCTCACGCTTGACTGAGCTCTGGTGTCGAAATGAACACAAAACGGCTGCAGTGAAACATACATCTATACAAGCTATGTCATGTACATGCCACTGGTGCTACATCTGATCACTCATAGACCTATATATATATATATCACCTCTCCGCAGTTCCATGGAGCCGCCTTTCTCCTCAGTGATCCACACCAGCAGCAGGCCGGGCGCCCGCGCCCATGCGTTCCTTCCGCGTCCGGGGCCGAGGCACCTGGAAACACGAGAGCGGTGTCACAGCGCAACTGGAGCAGGTCACAAGCATAAAGCCTACAAGTGGCTGCCTTGAAACGGGACAAAATAAATGCAACACAGGCACTAGTATGGTACGATCTCCCAGCATCCACTCAGGGTGTCCAATGTTGTGGACTTCCATTGGACACCCTGAGTGGATGGTGGATGGTGCAGGTTTGCATGTTCTGCTTTCACAGCCCCGATCAGTGCCTTCGTTCCATCTTCGTTCACGAAGAAGGCTGGTGCCCGCTCGTCAGGAGGAGCATCGCTGTCACTCTCTGCACCTGTGGATCTCAAGAAGGATCGCTTTGGGGACTCCGACCAATAGGGTGTTTTTTGTCTCTGTCAAGTGTTTCCTTCAAGCGCTTTCTGGGAAGGTTCAAGCAAACTGACTTTCTCTAGTGTTGCCCCTCTCTTATATAAAAGAAAATAACACAAATTTCACATATATATATATAGTATATATAGTGTGTATATATATACTGTATATGTTTTTTCTTTTTGTGTACAGTACCTTCTTCTGCCTACTAGGCCCAACGAGATATTGCATAGCCCTGCCTAGCTCCGCCAACATGCGCTGAAGGCTTTGAATCTTCTTGTGCTTTGCTCGCGCCTTCCAATATTAAAGATCAAGACAATGTGAGAAAGCCTTGAGTGGAAAAGACACAAAACACACAAACACACATGCTCAAAACGATGTCAAATCCTCTCGTGTTGCTCCATCTTGGTCCATCAAAACGTCAGGAGCACGGCACCTGTTCTTCTGCTTTTCTTTGTCGCATCTCTGCCTTCAAGCGAGCCTGCGTGTTGGTCAGTGCGTCCAGGACAGTAAGCAAAAACGAATGCCAACAAAATAAAGACCGCGGGGGCGTCCAGGAATTTTTTACTGAAGACCGCGAACAACACCGTGCATGTATGAGTCTCGCGTGCGTTTGCGTATGTTCAGAGCGGAAGGGAAGACCAACCTTTCAATCTTAGGAGCCGAGTTCATCCGAGAAATCAAAGGGACAAACCCTCAATAAACATTCAGCTTATTTTGCAAATATTGTTTCCACATTTTCATGTGGGGTTATCTCCTAGGAACGACTTGCCCTGTCTACGAGACACTGACCAACGTTACGAGATTCAGATCGAGCGATTCATCATTCCGGTTCCGCCTGCTGAAAGACCTCTGCCTGCTCCTTTGCCTCGGACGACGGTGCTTCAGTCTGTTCCTTTTCGCAATTTCACCCGCTGGTCCGGTCTTTTGCAGACTATATCTACAGTTGCGTAACTAAGGGCGAGGCTATGTGGCTATGGCAGAAACAGAACTAAGGGTTTAATCTGCGGCAAACTACACCTTTTAGGAAGTGGCCAGTTCTAACAAGCGACCCTAGCACAAGGGACTACAGACCCCGCTTGCTCAAAGACACCTGTATGTTGCAATATCTTACAAATATCCCAGTGTTTTGATCATTTAATAATTTACTCTTTGAGGTCCAAACCATGTGTATTATATAATCGTATAATATACAGTATTATATATAAAGGCAAGTGGGACTGTTGGCGTATTGCCACTGAGAGATTGCCTCAAACAAAGGTTATATAAAGATACAAATAAATCCAGCTTTTCAGAATGATTGTGACTATGTCTGATGGTAATTACCCTCAACAAGCGACACTGCTCAACACATCTAAACTCTTCTTGGGCTTCACGCATATGACTCGGCCGCCTCCGCTGCATCTTTGGCGCGGAAGGCGTCGTCGCGCTCGCCCTGGCTGAAAGTGCTCTGAGCGAGGTGCTTAGGCTCTGTCTCTCTCTCTCTCTCTCCTTTGCTATTGCTGAGTGTATGGAGTCCAACAAAATCACTTCGCTGTCCTTTGCAAGATGTTCAAGCCATGGACTCAATCATTTCTCGCACCTCCGCCACACGACGAGATTCCTCAAGTGGAGCTTGCGGATGGTCGAGAAGTGCCAACACTGTCCACAGGAGTGTTAACAGTCAAACTTTGACTGATGTTTTATCCAGTGCTCCAAAAATGTACGAAGAAATACGCAGAAAGGAGAAATGAGGCGAAGGTGATCCGGTGTGAACAAATAAGCGATCCACCGTCTCCGCAAACCTCGGGCCCCCCCAAGTCGAAGCATCCCATCCTCCACTAGCTGAAGCCCCCAAAGTCACAGCCCCCGAAAACAAATTCGAGACGTTGTGGAGATTCCTCCATGGTCTGGAGACCCTCCACTCCACCAATAATTAAGTTAACAATGTGACCAAAGAGGATTCTCCATAGGGGAACGTATTAATTCACCCTAAGCAACATGAGGAATTCGAAACACATGTTACATGTTCTTCTTGATTTGTTTGCCTGCTTAGCATCACAGATCTCCACCACCACGCAAAACTCAACAGTCTGATTAGGTGACCCAAAAAGGACCTTATGACCTAAAGCCTCCTAAAGCCAACATCATGTAATATATAATACTATATATACATATACATATTAATATACACATGCTATTACATGCCAAATTTGGTCCTTTGATGTTCCTTTGGATCCTGCCTTCAGTGCCATCACTCTTCGGCAGTCTCCCTGTCCCACTCCAAAGGCCGGGCGTCCTCGGCAGCATCGCGCTGGCGCAAGGCCTTCTCTTTGTCTTGTCGAGCTTCCCGGGCGTCCTGCCGAGGGGTTCTTCCGAGCACAGGACGGACGAGTTGAATGAACGATGTCAGGACGATCTCGCTTCGGAAGCGAGGAACGTGAAACCAGGGTGAACGCAGGCTGTGAACCTGCAAAAATTCATCAATAACAATCATATCATTCTCCTTGAGCTGGAAAATAGAAGCTCACATGTTTCTAACTGTTGGAACATGGGGTTTTACAGGTGATCTACATTTCCTGGGTAGGATGTAGAAAAAGCAGTAGAAAAAGCAGCACTGGATGAGTCGAACTTGCGAGGGCTCCGAAGGCCCACGCGAAGTCGAAGTGCAACCACCCACGAAGACAAACACCCCTTACATTATTCATTATATCTTTTCTTCTTTTTGGTTTCTACTAGCGTTGGCCTCCAACCTAATAGCGATGGCCTCCAAAAACCCCTTACATTCTTCCCAAGAGGCGTGATGCTTGTGGATTCCCTGATATGTTGGAATCTTATTCACACTAGATTGCATCGTTTTGCCATTGCGAATCTCTTCACCCACAACTAGGATGGGCCACCCCCTTGTTCGTTTAACATTATATACAAACTTTGAAAAAAAAGAAACGCTGCACCGCTACAGTAGCCGGGTGTGTGACGTTTTACACAACACTCATGGCACGTCGAAGCTGGTGTCATCCACAACACCTTTTCCACACGATACAATCACTTCACAGCAAACATTGGTTAAGCGAATGAACAGGGATCAGGAGGAAGGCGGGGTCTTGGGTAACTTGGATTCACACATCCATACATGCCTTACATCTCCACTGCCCATTCAACCTGCTTCCTCCACGTGTCTGGCTCATTGGTTCTGAGTCCAAACCTCGCTCTCTGCCCACGCCGCCCACTCCCCGCGGTCTCGTTGCGCGAGCTTCATCTCACGCTCAGCTTCACCCTGCATCCGCCGAGCTTCTTCGATGCCTAGCGCGGGCGCAGACCCTTTTCAGAACCGAAGCCGTGGCATTGGAGAAGCCTCAAATGAGAGAAAAAAACAGTCTGACATACAGAAATGCAACTGGAGTTTTCATTTGTGGTTTTGTTTCTATCACTTCCCCATTCGGGGCAGCTGTGCATTGAGGGGGTATGGTCTGGAGCGTCCCATCCAATCCCATTCAGGGTGGATGGCCCCCAAATCGTATGCCAAATCGATCCAAATCTTATCAGTCTTTGTCAGTCTTGAGTGTATACACTGACCTCAGTTTCGTTTCAGTCTTCTTATCTGTTTTCTTGGGTCGTGAGATTCTGGGAGGCTGCGAAGAACAAAGGATTTGATGTGAAAACATATGGAAGGAAGAATCGTGAGAATTGAACCTTCACCATGCACCGCATCTGATCACACGAGATTCACACCTATATATATTATATATTATAAGGCATACTCGGACCTCTTCATTGAATGAACCAAAGCTATTGCTTGTTCCCACCCACAAACCTTGGAAGCAATCAGTAGGATCTGGGATACAAAGTGGATCAAAGTGGTTCGGAACCAAGTAGCTTTGTAGATTGGATAAGCGCCAAAACTTAATATCCTTACCATTCCTTAACTGGTACCAGTATGCAGTGTTTCACACTAGCCAGTCTGCCAACTTTCTTCCTGACTTTTCGTGCAAACATCACAAGGACGCTACTAGGAGCAAAGGGCATCGCTACTAGGAGCAAGGGCCTTACTAGTAGTAACAAGAAGCTAGTAGCAACAAGAATTAGTAAATAGAATTAAAAGTAGTGGCAAAGGAGACTTTCATCAAACTGACCGTTCAACTTCTCTTTCCCCACCTGCACTGTCCCGAAGCACGGCGGAGCCCAAACTCCACACTCCACAAAATCCGGAACTTTTGCACACGTGACACCCAAGTAGCCAGACTGGCCATCAAAACGTCGGCGCCATCATGGGCTGGGACAAAGTCTCGCAGGAAAACCGGCAGAGAGAGGCGTCCAACTGGATTTCTGTTCGCCAACTTCTTGACTTCTAACGCTGGGAATGGTCTGAGGCAAATAAAGCCCAACGGTCACAAATCAAACATGGGCATCTCTAACAAAAAAGACGCTGTCTCCACACTGGAAGACTGTGCTCAGCGAGATTCGCAGCCACGATGGTTCGTGAAAGGCTCAGTTCCAAACCCGGCAGGTGTATACATGTCGCTGGGATTCCAACAACCATTTTACTACCGATGTTTCACTACGAAACCTAAGCTAGCTCAACTCAACTACGAAACCTAAGCTAGCTCAACTCAGCTCAACCATGTTTTAAAAAGTCTTGGAAGGCCAGGGCTTCTGTCTGTTGGACAAAGTTACGAAAACATACGAAAACTTAGTGGAACAAAGGCGCAAGGTGGGCGCCCAACCGGTTTTGAGAATGAGATGTGGATGGGATTCACATCTCAACATGACGGTCTGTGGGTATGTACTATCTGCAACCGCTGCACTGTAAACCATCTGTCGGAGTAAAGGAACATTGTTATTCTAGACTCTAGACATTTCGAGACCATGGTCATTGATGAAAGCCTCTACATAGTTGGTTTCAACAACTAGGGAAATTTATGGTGTGGCTGCCTCGGATTGGCAAAGAACCTGAAATGGTGAAATGGTACGTGCAGCAATTGCTGCCTTGGATTGTGAGATGAGCAAGGAGGGAGAGCCCTCTTGCTGTAGGCGTCAAACATAGGACTGCAGAACACCTTCAGCTTCAACATTGTTGAAGAACGATCGTTCTTTGCAGATTGGCTCACATGAAAGAGGACGCTGGTTGCCACCTTGTCCATGATGCAGGAGCACCTAGTTTACAAATGCTATTGGTGCCACTGCAGATTTTTCTGCAGAGCTGGGTTCATGCGAAAAAGGTGGGCTGGAAAATATCTGACGAATCAGGGCAATCCGGTCGGTCAGCCGAACACCTGCTTCATCACCACCTGCACTTACAGAACATCAAATGCGCTGCATGTCTGCATGCATGTCCGCATGCATGTCTGCACGCATGTCTGCATGCATGTCTGCATACTGTCGGTGGTGTTCTTCTGCCTTGGTTCAAAAATCTGATGCTGCCGGTCGTTGCAGCTTCCTTTCGGAGTTGGCTGGAAGCCCCAGTTCAACATTCTAGTGCATGGAGTTCATCCTTGTCTGAAGCTTTTGGTGCCAAGTGCCGACTGGAAAAGGGGACGGACCAAAATTGAGACTGGAGATACCATGTGATACCTATCCTATCCTCCCGCAAAGAGAAGCGGCGACGGTGAAATACCGTCAGACACACGCCGAAGTTGACATGCACACCGAGACTTGGACAGAAAACTGGCATTCAGACCTAGTGGCACATCACATGCCTCTATGGGGTCCGTCGTTGCAGAAACTTTTTCCATGTTCCAAGGCACAAATGCCAGTACGAGCATCTCAACATATGTCACGGTTAGACTTTTCAGTCATCCAAAGGCTGGCCAAGGAAATGCAAAGTCAATCAAATTCAATCGTGCCATCCTACTGGGCTGTACCCTCTCTCTTTATTACTCAGACCCTTTTTTGCGCTTGTAAAGATCTAGGCATCTCCATGCCCTTCCACACGAAAAGGGCCAAACTCTTCCCACAGACTCCAGGCATGACACCAGCAAACCTCAATTGTATTCAATTGTGTTGTGCGTGTTTTGGCTATGCAACCTCCTTCAAAGCCGCCTTTCGCCGGTTCATGGTCTAGGGGCCTCAAGCCTCAAGCATGCGAATTAGTGAACATCATCCACGAGGGGGGGGTAGGAACAAGAACGCTACTAGGAACAAAGGGCATCGCTACTAGGAGCAAGGGCCTTACTAGGAACAAGAAGCTAGTAGAAACAATAAGTAATTAGAATCAAATTAAACTTCTTAAAATAAGCTACTAGGAACAAGTGCATCGCTACCAGTAACAAGTGCCTTACTAGTAGTAACAAGAAGCTAGTAGTAAAGGAGGCTACTAGGATCTTTTCGCTAAGGCCCAACCCACGAGAGCACCGAGACCTCGCCCCACCTTGCCATTGGGCGAGCTCCAAGAGCGAAACGAGCTCTGCGATTGGCGCGCCATTCGCACGGCCCGTGAGCAGCAACCGGATGGGTTGATGAAGTCGAGGGCCTTGGAGGGACTGCAGGACTGCAAATGTCTGCAGGTCTGAGCCAATGTGGAAGGTCTCCGGAATTCCACACGCATTAGACCTGCTGGAAGCTATTTTTCTCACAATTCAAAAAAAAGGATTGATTTACATACTATTGATATACTGTAAATGGTTTTGAAGGTTCCAGGGACAGGAGAGGCACAAGAGAACCTTTTTGGACCATGGAACGAAATCCCTGGTGCAGTAAGCTCAGTGTTGTCATATTGAGTCTCAGCCTATGAGCCGTCTATGTTCCCTTTTACTAGTGTGGTTGCTGGTGGGATCCCAGAGCAACTATCAATGAAAGGGTTACATATTTACCACATGAACATGACCCTAATGTAAGCAACTGTTCCATGCATGGATGGTCTGGGGATCTGTCAAAGTGAAGCAGTGGGATCAAAACGCGGCCAACATGTGTCATGCCACGACTGTAAGCACCTCTACGGCCTCTGCATTGATAGCAGCGGCACACCTTCATTGCTCTTTGCTTCAAAACCCGCTTGTTGACAACAAACACCCAAAGGCAATGTGAAGATTCAGCAAGAAACATCAATTAAATTGTATTACAATGGATCATATAATATGTATATATATAATATATATATATTGTTATGTTATTACTTGGTGCAAGGTGTTCCCATTCCAGAGTACCTTCTCAGAATCGCGCAAAACTCTCAGTCTACGAAGCATCATCTCACTGTCAACATGAGGCATCCCTTCCGATTGACCCCTCATCAATCCTCGCGAACAGGCAGTCAGCTTCCCATGTTTTCCTGTATCACTCGGCTAGAATCTGATGTGTATGCCAACAGAATCAACAAAATCTGCCACCGGAGTCATTTCGGTCAAATCACCCACACCTCAATGCCAAGCCATGTCAAAATCATTCCAAGAAACCATTGTCCCGGGACCTGCCCTCCCAATCGCACCCATCAACCTCCAACAATTTACCCTAAAAGAGCGGCCTGCCGCTTTTAATGTATACTGGCCATACACTGTTGATTAATCAAACAACCCCATTTGATTTTTAACACCTATTCAACGGGAAGGGTTTTAATATGTTTTAATGTAACATATGTTAAACATTCTCGCTCCTTTGGAACTTTTTAGGGCCACACTGACCCTTCGTCTCAGAACCGTCTCCGAGGCGCCACGGCGGCCCTGGGAGCGAAGCTTCTCTAGGAGCTTGGGCAAATGGGCGCTGAGATGATCGCTGTGCCGTAGCAGCACCGGCACCACCTGCACCGTCGACCCCGTCCCGGCGGAGCGGAGGTTTCGGGACGGAGCACGGCGCGGAGAGGGAGGAGCGGCGACAGCGGGGAGAGTGGGAGGTGTTGGTTGACTTGGATTTGCTGTCCACGAAACCAGGATTCGTATTTCCCAGAAGAGGATTCACCCCGTAGTGAAGTTCAAAATCACCCGAAGCAAAACCATGTTGAGGTATGTTGAGGTTTGTTGTTCTCTCTTGTTCTCAAAACTGAGATGAAGGTGGCTTTTGTATGCTTTTGTATTGCAAAGATTGGCAAAGGGTGGGTGAATCAGAAGGATGGATAAAAACATAACGTAAATTAAATGAGTTTGCCATGAGTTTGAATCAGATTATCAAAGGATGCGATCACCAAGCTACGAACACGGGTGCTCCATACCAGATCCTCCATACGTCAAGATCTCAAATCACGGATCACCGCTGGTGAGATCCTTAGTGTCATTCCATGCTGGGAGCTTTTGTTGATCTTAGAAATGCATCCACCACATCTCTCTCTCTCTCTTTCTCTTTTGGCCTAATTCTTCAAAAACGTCTAGAGAACCTTGTCAAAGCCTGTTTTTGCACGCCCTTTCCCTCCAATCATGGTACCAAACCTCACCTCCAAGGTGTCTTCCACCAGCGCGAGAATTCTGGGATAGCCCTCCTTCGCCGCCCCAACCGCATCTTCCAAATCAAAGATCAATGCCTTCCGCGACGCCAAAATCTTGGCGAGATCTCCGCGGATAGGGGACGGTCCCCAGATGGTTTCCAATCGTTCACCAATCACAAAACACTTGCGAAAGTCTATATATATGGTAATGTTCACTTTTGATTACAAACATAAACTGCCCCTAAATAATAAAGCTAAACAACTCCCAAAACTAAACCAATCTAATAAAGCTAAACGTCATCCCCCCACCTGTTTTTATATTTTTGTTTTATTGGCTTTTGTTTGTTATTTCTTTATTTGGATGATTTTACTGTTCTGTGTGTCTAATTTGTTGGTTTATTCATTGATGTCGCGTGGGGAGTTGATCCTTTTCCTATTCATGTGTGATTGGTTGCCGTTGGCATGTGCAGGAAATAGCTTATCTTTATTGTGTGTTGTGCTGTGTTTTGCCGATTCAATAGCAGATTTCTGGTGGACTTGATGACTCCTTCATTGCTACCCCGCTTGAGGCCACCATACCCTAAATAAAGTGCACCCTAACTAAAACAAAAAAACACTGGTTGAAAAATAGCTTAGCTCTATTTTGTGTTGGTGCTTATCATTTCTTGCTTATATAAGTATTCCTGCCTTACTTAGATTCCTTCTGAAATCCAACAATATTCATGTAACTCTCATGTTAATTCTAGAAACCTCTCCACAACACTAATTTGTTCCTTTCATCTTAATTCCAGGAACCTCTCCAAAATATTAATTTCCCGTCAATCTCAATTCCAAGAACTTCCCCCCAATACCAATTTCTCTTTCATCTCAACTCCACCAACCTCTCCCTAATACTTTAATTCTCGGTCATTCCCGTTCATATACTTTTGAGAATCTGGTGATAAACTTTACAGAAGGTCATTACACCCACAAAACACAAAAACATCACCCTCTAATCAAACATATGTGTGTTTACAGTGCTTTTGGCTGATGTTGATATATACTTTCGACATGACATTTGATACATCTGTTTTAGATTGCTTTAAGGATACCTTATCACCCGGCCCCACCCCCCTCGCAACCTCATGTGATGAAGGTCGATCATTATTATGTATACTACTGTCTAATGACTTAGGCCAACGTGATGCAAGTGACATACCAATCTGGCTACCCCCAGGGCTAAGTCATGTGCCCTGACATATCGAGCAAAAAAAAAGTCTGGGTTGGGAAACCTGGTGTCATAGGACCTGTGGACACCTCCTCGACAAAAAATGTAAAACAGCTAGATAATGCTAGATACCACTGCCTGGCACCCTGGTGACACAGTGGTGACATAGGGTGCGACTATGTGTTGCTTCCTTGAATACCTCATACATATTTCTATGAATATCATGGTTGTGGCCTGATGACATAGGCCTTAAGAGGAAATGCCAATGTTGGATCAATCCTGATGACATAGGCTTTTGGAATTGGCGTGTATGTCCGACAAGTCCTAAGTTACTAGTCAGTAGTATAATTAAAAGAACTGTATGCGCAATCAGTATTTGCTCTATCTCTTGTCTAATGTTTTCTTCTTGCAGACTGCCAAAACCAAAGCCCAAAACAAAAAACAAAACTCTCAGAAACATCTTTGGTTTCAGCCTGAACAATGTTTTTGGTGTTCTTTGTTTGTTTGGTTGTTGGTTTCGATTTATGCATCAAAAAGCAAAAGCCACAATGCGTTTGTGTTTGAGATGGTTTATGCAATCACTAACTCCAAGAACCCCCACAGCACACCAGTTGTTTTTGGTTGTTGCTTTCTTATTGTCCAAAGAACACACAAGTTTGCTTATTTTTCGTGATTCAAGGGTGCATAGACCGTCTCAAAAACAACAAACATTGTGGTTGTTGTTTTTGTTGATGCATGCATAAAGACCAACAAACAAGTTTACAAACACAATGAACACCCAAAACACATTTTTGGGGCTGAACAAAAGATTATCCTCAGAGTTTTGTTTTTTTTCTTTTTTGGGTCTAAGTTCAACTTGCGATTGCTACCGCAGGTTTGTATCCAAATCAATAGTTTTTAGTTTTCTCTTTTTTTGCACGATGGTTCGCAAGCAATGCGCTGGCTGCAACAAGCGAGGAAAAAACAAATGTCTTTGCATCAACTCCACTAAGAATATCAGTAACAGTGAAAAAAGCTATGACTATGACCACCGCAGCCGAGAAAGTGCAAATTGCGCGGCTGAAGATCGAGTCGTTGACGCTCAAAGATCAAACAAGAAAGGAGCCAATTGCAACAAAACATGAAGGGGAGTCTTTCTTTAAGGGCCAGGGCAAAGGAAAGTTGCGAGATCTTTCCTTTAAGCCTATGGGCTTTTAAGCGAATCACCAATGAGTCGACAGCTGAGGAGGAATGGTGGTGCAGTTGGAACCATAATGGTGCTAGTGCTAACAGAAAACCTTGGCAGTGCGAAAAAAAAGAAAAAAACAAACATTTCCTCCCAGAGGCCGCGCTAGAAATTTAGGCTGTACATATTGTCTATTATTGGTTTAAGTATATAAACATCCGGGGTAGCTTTGGAGATAGAAGACAATCCTTGGGACAAGGTAGGGTAAAAGTCTTGAAAAGAAGGGGTATGGTCCAATCTCGGCTATGGTCCAATCGGATGAGCACTGTGGGTGAGAAGTCCTTCGTGAAAGAATAACCTTGGAATGACCGTCCATTCTACAACAGAGGATGTGAGTCCGTTTAACCGAAGATGAGGTCCAAAACATAAAATCATAGAAGCTGTCTGGATGAACAGAAGATGGTCTCTAGATTCCTTTATCGACGGACCCGAACAAAGCAACAGTTAGCAGGCTTGATTGGGAAGCTCGCGTAAGAACACATGCCAGCTATGATGGGAGGTTTGCCAAAATTATTCAAAGTTGTTGCGCAAACACAACCACATATCAGCATTGATGTCGCCATACATGCCAGAACATATGCCGCGAACACAAAAGCATCAACGAAAAGAAATGTTAGAAGTTAGAACCACAGCCCAAGGAGAAGACAACATTTCCAATCATGGCCATTGCAATCTCGCGCAACTTCCCACCATCATAACAACGAGCAATGACAAACCTACCATCACCTGCGGTCCTGCGGTTGTTTAAAAACACGGACACAAGCCACGAAAAACATACAAGGAGAAGACAACGATAACAGTCGCAGCCATGGCAGGCCCATGGAACTTCCCACCGCCGCAACGCATAAGGACAACCTCTCCCATCATCCGCTGAGCCTTTGCTATATAAGAGCACGGACAAAAGAAAAGCTAGAACCACAGCGAAGACCAATATACGAGGAGAACAGCACCATAACAATTGCAACCATTACAGCCCCTCACCACCATACCTCTGGAACCCGTGGCCTGAGCCCGTGGACGGTCCGTGGATGGTCCGTGGGGAAGGGGACGGGCGGGCGCCTGGATTGGACCCTTCTCAAAAGAAGCACGGGCTTGGGGGACAAGCATGGGGACAAACATGGTGATCAGTGTTGGGGACAAATGTTGGGGACAAGGAGGAGGAAAAGCAAGGGGGGAAAAATAATGAAAAATGTTAGAGACAAGGCATGGCTTCGGCTTCATCCGAGATCCTCATCACCAAGGTCCTTAAAGAGAGTAGGAGAAAGAAAGCACTTTTCACTGCCGCTAGATCGTTCGCCTCATCAAGGATGTAGACGAATATGGCAGCTGCTCTGATTGTCACAACTATTTGCTCGAAAAGTTTGAGGCGCTTTTGGAGCACCACCCCATCTACAGAGACAAGACCTTTGGCTCGCCACTGGAGTTGTCTGCTCTTGGGAGATGGCACAAAGTTCATCGTATCGGTTTGACATAGATTGTAGCTAAAAGGATTACCCCTCACAAATACATCATCTGCCACATCTGCACTCATCACCTGTCATAGCATCCTGTCTCCCACAAGCAAGCGCAATCTGCTGAATAATTGACAATGACATTTGCAAACTACAATATACAAGCCATGCATGTATCATAGTATCATGTATGTAATTATGCAACAGGCCACACAATGGGACAATCCTAGATGAATAACATGGGTCTAAGGTGTTTTTTTGTTTTGGGGGCTAGCATATAATATATATATATAATATAGTATTTTATATATATAATAGATAATATATATATATATAGTTGTATACCAGGGCCCACAAGGGGTGGTTGGTGAACACCCTCAACCTCTAAGGGACGATTATTAGACACCAGTAGAGGCCGAGCCTCGCTGTGCTCGGCCCAAGATCTTCCTAAGACCCGGTTCTGTGTCCGACGTGTACCGCCTGTCCGCGGAGAAAGGCACCTCTCGCAAGGCCACCAAGGCCTCGGCAACAGATCGGCAGCCACGGGCCACGCAAAAGCGCACGCACTCCTGGAGGCATGTGGAGCCCTGAGGAGGGGGCTTCGCGAGAACACACACACAAAACAAACCAAATGAGGCGAGAAAAAATGGAAAAACGCGAATGGTGGTGGGATGAGTGCTTGGATGTATTTGGATACAACGAAAGGATCCAACCATGATCAAGGGTCTCATGCTGGACTTATGAGACATCTCGTTACAGAAATCATATCAAACTAGCCATACCTTGTAAGTGTTCTCGGCTGGGTGGGGGAAGTGTCCTAATGACAATGCCTTTAATGTGCAAGGAAGGTAGAATGCTGTGTCAGGCTTTGTAACCTTTATGAAGATACCTCGGATGAAGGGAGTTGATCCATAAACTACAAAACACCAGTCACCAGTATGTCACGGTCCGAGAAATCCTTTTCCCAGGTGAAGGTACCTAGCAGGGATTGTTATACCTGGCAAAGGCCCTCAGTGCGCAAAGCACCCTGGATGAAACTGTGAAGGTGAGGCGCTTGTACCAGTGGAGAAATGGCAAACACACATGATAATATATAATATTACATAATATTCTATAGTTTATATATATATGTGCAATATAAACATTAGATCGATAGATAGATCTCAAGGAGAGAGCTTAATCCACACCGATCTCGCAGAAACAGTATGGGCCACAGTACCACCATACACCACGCACAAATCACACATTTTAGTAGCCTCGTCCTAGTCCTTGTCAAGCAATTGTGAACCTATGTCAGTCACCCTGCATTTGCCGTCCTTGCTAAGATCCGAGTCTTCGTGCAAAGCAATGCCATCCTCGACCAACCACCGAGGCAAAAGCTCAGCCAACTCAGCACCTGAACCGAGTTGAAACGAAGCAGCCAAAAGTTGCACGTTGCCGCGAATATCCAACTTTGTTGTCTGGCGGAACAGTTCATCTAAGGAGTTCTGCTGTACCCTGTACCCAGATACCGATCCGGGGGTCCGCTTTGGCATCTGCCTCCAAATGCGTGGTGGACAAAATCTTTGGCTAGAGGGACCTCCTAGGGATGGTCAGGGTCGGCCCACTTCTCCATTCTGAACCAATTGGCTCTTTCGCTGGCCCCGGCGTAGGGCGTGGCCCCGGCAGACTCCAGACGTTCCAAAACCCCTCCGTTTCCATTCGGCTTGCTGCGGAAGGAACGAAACCCCTCCGGTTTCGCCAGCTTCAGCCCCTTTCGAATGTCAACTTGGATTTGCTGAAGGAATAAGGAAATATAAAAAATAGAAACATGTTCCCCAGAAGGGAATTCACCCAGTTTGGGAAAATAAGTAGTCTCACTCTCACACCAAAAAACCGCCAAACCGGGTCGAGACATCCAGGCCAGGTCGCTGGTGCAAATCTGCTCGCGGCCCGGCCGGCCGGAGGTGTCCTTTGGCACTTCGGGGCCCAAATAGATGGCATAGGACGTCACCAAGTGTCCGCCTCTTTTCGGCTCGCAGTGGTTTGTTCTGCGACCGGGTTGGCGCGCTTTGGTGCAAATACAGTAGGTGGTCCACGCATCCGCTGCAGGGTGCCAAGGATCCCTTTTGGCACGAGAGGACATTCGCAACTAACGGACGGAGGTGGGATGGACTTGCAGTCCCCATGTTTTTTGCAGTAAGATGCAGTACGTATCGGTACATATTATGTTCATGCCTTTCCCTTTGTTCAGATGTGGGAGAACAGCTGGGACGATGCACGTGATGAAGAAACAACAAACTTGAGGAGCAGCCATTCATGTGGAATTGAAGATCAAGCTGGAGAGCCCTTCTATTGACATGAGCCAAGAACAGGAATCGCAGTGGAATCAAACAACCCCTGATCGCAGGACTACTGAGAGTGGAATAAAGCGGAAAAAATATCGGAAGCAAGTTGTATGCCCCGGAGTCTAACCTATACAACTTGGGTCTGTATACATCACCGGTGGATCCAGAAGGATCTTCGCCACATGAGGCGACGTCCCACGGGTATGATCTGCAATCCTGCGGATTTCTGCAGGGTCTTCCATACACAATACATGCATGAGAAAGTACTATATACAGTCAGACTATATATATATATTAAACCTTCCATTTGACTCCATTCAAGCAGCAAACAAAGTCCTTCAGAAAAAACTCTTCCTGCAAGGTGCTTGTCAACACATCTAAAACTGACCTTCAATCGGGCGACTCAGCTACTGTGGCATTCAAGCGACTGTCTTCAACCAAGACATCTTGCAAGCTGTTGGAGTGGCCAGTGCGACATAGCACATGTCGATAGCGTTCCCCATCCAGCGTGGTTTCCTGCAATGCACTAAAGAGGCTCAGACCGGCCCAACATCTCCAAACAGGGAACCACATCAATTCTTAACTAGGAGCAAGGGCATCGCTACTAATAACAAAGGGCATTACTACTAGGAGCAAATAGCTACTAGTAACAAGAAGCTACTAGTGGGATTCCATCGAAGTCTTTTGCTTAGCAACCAGTATGGCAAGTAGACTTGGAATGACAAAACACGGAAGCTGACGCTAAATGTTAGTAATTACACCAAAATGTGTTGTGCCGGGACATATACCCGGTGACCTACTCAGAACGTCAATCCTTCAGCCCTTTTCACACGCCCAATCCGCCGGAGGACAAAGACTGAAGGTCTCTCGGTGGAAAGTGAGCACCCTGCGTTTCGTTTGACGAGTTCAACCTCTTCATTCCAAAAGACTGCTCCTTATATTACTGTAATTATAGAACAGTATAATACAGTATAAGTATATATATATATGTTTCTTCAATGTTCTTCATTTGTGCGAATGCTTTGTTCCCTTCTTCCTCATCTTCCCCAAGCACAAACCAGAACAAAGATACTTAGCCTACCGAACCGCTGCCGCCGCGCCAACTCGCGGCAAATCCCACCACCTCACCACATTTACCGGGACCTTGCCCTTGGGGCCTCGCGCGGTTCTAAGCTCGACCACCCACACCGGAACTCGTCGCGACCGACCAGCGGTGCTCCTTGGTGTAGCCTTCATCGTAGGCTCCGGTCCAAGGAATCCACCCATTCTGCCGCGCCATGCCCGGTGTGGAGGTCTCGAAGTAGGCCACCGTGCCGATGGCCAGCTGCCACTCCGGCGAAGTGCCGATGAAGAAGCCGCCTTGGTCCTGAACGGAGAGACGGAGTGGGCTGCAATTGGCGGCATGTGTGTGTGTGTGTGCCTGTTTGTCATTGTTCATTAGAATTAGAAGTCTGAAGAGTGCAAGACCATGCAAGTTGTCTGTTCCCAGGCTTGATCGATACTTGCCAAGTAGAAGGCTTAGTAGCTTTATCTGTGGCTGGGTGGCGCTTTTCTCTCGCTCCAGGTGAAAAGTGGCTATGGCATGCTTGCCAGCGTCCTTCACCAGTTTGTGACCGTCGTAGTCCCACACAAATTTTCCAGACACAAACCTGGGCCGTTGTGAGGGCTGCATGATGTCACGGTGTGTTATCTATCTATTGTTATTTATCTATTTGTTGTTTGTTTCGCACGTTGGTGTTGAAAAAGCAGGTCCCAAACATAGTGGTTAGTGGACTCAGGATATACTATCACACACTTGTAAAAACCCAGACTATCCGATCCGCCGGCCCCGGTGCTTCAGCTCTTTCCAACTTAGCTTCGCATGGCTTTCAGAAGCCACGCGAGGTCCCGGACCCTGAGGATCCCTGAGGAATTCATGTTCTCCACCTATACGTGGATTTGCTGTCCAGGAAGCTGCAAAAATAAACACTACGGGGATTCATCCATGGAGTCATAGAGAAAATCAAGATCACCCGATCCTTAAAACCAAGGATGTCATGGGTCCGTGTTGAAATAGGGACTTCCTACCCGGCAGCTTTTCCGTGATTCCTTGGTCTTTGGGAGGATCAGCCTGTGACAACCTCTGTTTTCTTACGGGCCCTCCACGGATCTGTACACGAAGGGATAAGAATATTCAACCTGATTCAACCTAAAGGATCTACAAAGAACTGAAGCACTGCATTAATCATCGATGGAATACAACAATAACATACAATAACGGGGTGCCAGGAACACTCACAGAGGTATGCCTGCTGAGTTGGTTGGAAGCGGGTTACACTCCCTGGCATCATCATGGTTATGTGGATGGTATGCTCCGTTGGATGACCATTTTCCGAATACATCCGAATACCAAAAAGCTGGTGAACTCCACATAAGCATGTTGATTCCAAGGAGTGTTGGTTGATGTGCAGCCCAGGTGGCCGGCTGTTCACGAGTCCAGCTTCGGCATTGTTGTAAATGTATCCCAAATATCTTGCTGTTCCTCTCACCTGGACACCGACTTTGTGGGGCGGCAAAGGGAACACCGCATGGGCAGAATCAGGCCATGCAACACTCGCTTCAGGCAACGGCGAACTTGCAACGATTCATGCAAACAGGATTCGTATGAGGAACCACCCCCTCATCTGCAAGGTTGTCAAGACAATGCTGTCTTCTGTCTTTGACACCTCAAATAATCGCTTGATAATCCAGCAGTTCCAAAGAAATGGTTCTTAGCCCCACAAGTGAGTGGATAGTGGGCACCCCTACTGGAACTCCTGGTTGAGATTTATATTGGCATGGGAACAGAATCATCACACCCTTGTGGGCAAAAAGCATCAGCCATCCGATCCGTGCCTCTTCGAGGTAAAACTTCAGCCAGGAGTGAAAGCCACCGGCCACGGGCTGTCCAGAGATATCTTCGGTCAAGTTACCTGAGTCTCTTTATTTCACACTTACCACGAGTCTGGAGACCAAACGCGAGACCTTTTTGTGTGTTTCGAGTTTTGTGGCAAGTCTTTGTGTCGCAGCTACAGGCCTGAGGCCCAAGCCGCTTCAGAGACATGTTGATGTCACATGCTGGGAATGTTCACCGAGTTGGTTGTCATTTGGCATGAAGTGTGAAGCAACATAAAGCTACTGCTTGAGTTTGTGCACCCCGAAACAACCAAGGCTAGAGCAAAGAATGACTGATATACAGTACATATGAAAGCATAAAAACTGATGAGAACCCTGGTGATAGCAGAAGAATAATATGATGCCCAATTTCTATCTCTATTTCAAGACATCCTCACTACCTACAATTCACTAGTAACAAGGACGCTACTAGGAGCAAAGGGCATCGCTACTAGGAGCAAGGAGGCTACTAGGGGCTCCTGGCCTTACTACTAGGAACAAGAAGCCACAAGGAAGAAACAGGCCAAAGCACCGAGGAAGACGTGCTCGAAGACGCAAGGCTTCCCGTCGCGCCTTTGAAACCAAAGCTTAAACAATACTTCCTGCCACGCGCGGCCATGCGTGGCGCAGGACACACTCGCATATAGATGCATATAGTCACTATAGCCTGTCAAACTTGGAAGAATTGGACACCTCCAGGCCTTCAAATCGGTCCGGCTGGTTGTTTTCTACCCATCTATCATTCTATCCAAGGATGCATGCATTCAATTCCTTCGAGACCATGAATGTCCGACAAAGACAAGCTTCGAACCCTGGGTAAGTCGTGAGCCAACAATAGCTTCATACAGCCCATTGTTTCTTATATGAACAGCAAACAAAACTACTTGTGTTGCCCAGTGAATTTTGCACCCATTTGATATGATTATATGTTTTTTTGTTCAAGCCATACTTAGAAAGCATATCTGCACTTAGACTTGAGTACAAAATACATCGTGGCTTCGAACGCCAACTCACAACCTCAAATTGGAGGCTTACAGTGTTTCTGTTTGTACAGGAATCACACAGCACCTGTTTCATGTGCTTGGGTTCTTGTGGTACTAAGTAGCCTGTTCTTGTCAAGGATCACAATATAGAAGCGGGCCATACATATACAAAAAGCGAGCAATTAGCAATGTGGGGAAGTAGGTTTATGCAGTGACTGGCGTGTTATTTCGGTTGTCGTTTGCTTATCGTTTGGATTATTGCTTGGGAAGCCGATATCTTTGGGGAAGTCTTCGGGCAAAAATCCGTTTAAGATCTTTTCAACAGAATGCACCTTGCCGCAAGAGAAACCTTTTCCCACAGAAACAAGGCCTTCAACATAGGTTAGGTCATGCCATGACTCAATAAGCCAACAAACAATTTTGTCAGTCGCTCATAGACCGTCTGAAAGTCCTTGCTGTATAGTAATATACTCTAAGATACTCTAAGTGTAAAATCCCTGTTGCGGAGGGTGATTTCCTTGGAATCTGCACCCGTGAACCGCTCGACCCTTCGTACGTCGCCCACGTTTACTAGACAACTAGACAGTCGCATGACTCGACTCGACTCGAGTGGAGAGCTGTCCTTCCATGGTCTGGTCAAAACAATTGGTAGAGTCTTGGTGATGTGACGAAAGGCACGACCTGATTTCCAGCTCATCGAACACGGATCTGAAAACGAATCGAACACCGAGAAGGATGGGACTAGGGTGAATGGAGGTGGATGGAGGGTCCATATACCTACCATTACAAAGAGGTACCTGAGAAATTGATCCATCTTGCATTTTGGTGATCTTTACCCTTTATGGTCCTTTATCCAACCCTGGTGGATTGGAGCCTGAGAGCCTATAAAGATTCACCTATGATTGATCTTTCGATGTTTTGAGGCCTTTGGTCACGCAATTGGCAGGATCAATTTTGACAGGCCCACTGCAAATGGCCTGGCTTCTGGGGGCATACAGTATATTCTCTGTAAATCCTGAACTTGAGTAACCCCGGTTTTGGAGACAACAACACGTTCTTATCCTATCAAAACAGTGGTCAAATGAGTTCTACAGGTTATGGGTCAAGATATATCAAAATTTGTTGTTCGGTTGGGTGTTAGATCTCGGCCCGCTTGCTCCCTCATCCAGGCCACGCATCACGGAGGTCCGCGTGACCTGCTCCAAGAACTCATCGATGGCATTGAACTCTGCTGGGCTGTAAGGACCTGCGACAGCCGCCTACGACAGCAAACAACAGGAGCAGCCCCCAGAGGAAGCCGCTTGGGTGTTCGAGAAATGTCGAGAACACAGTCTGAATCGAGGTTGGGTGATAGTGCCAAGGGCGAAGCTGACAGGAAGAATTAACTTCACACGATGGAAGGTCTGTGGAGCTAGCAGCTAGAAGATAATGATGGAAGGAAACAAGCTGTGGGTCATCTTGTACTATAGTGATGACTGCCAATGATTGGCTCTACAAAACAGGAAACTCATGGATACAATGGATAAATCTCACTCCCAACTTGCAAGATCATCCAGTACAGGAATCCTTCTTCTTTTACACCCGTTTGGTGCATCTTGGCGCTTAGGTTGCCACCTGCATTGTTCTCGCTCGTCTTGCGGATCTCTGCAGGTTGAAAAACCTCATTCGCACAGCTGGGCATGAGGCGAAACAAAGTTCTCCTCCCACAGAATTGACATCTTTTCACCGGTCACACATCTCTTGCAGCTCGGTCTTCTGCTAGAAATTGTGCACCCAAAGGGTGCACCCAGTCGTTGGAATTCATGAAGGGGGCAGCCCTCGTTTCAATCAGCTCTTTGTCCCTACGAAGCACTTCTGTCTTGGCTTGAGCATGGCTCTTTGAGCTAGCAGCTAGCAACTTTCGAGGTTTGTCCATGTGGCGCTCTCCAACGACTTCACAGGTCAACAGGCTTGTGACATCCATAAAGCATTCGATGTGAACATTTTTCAACCAATTCTGGCTGACAGGTCCCTGGCAAGCATCAAAACGGATCAAAGGGAGCAACAAGGAGTGTAAAGTAGTAAGGAGCGTTTGTAATTGATCCAACCAACAAGCAAAATCTCAGAGGAACATTCACGAACGTAAACCATAACAAACCAATACAAACCATCTAATTGCGTGTCTACCTCATTAATTAACCTCATGTGCCAAAATGTGTTGTCATTGCCCACCTTCCCACGTTCCCTCCCGCGCTGAAGCAACTGCTACACTCACCTTCGACCCAGTTCGTTCACCACGTTCGTTCGCCACGTCCTTCGACACCCTCGCCATCTGAGGAACATCAAAGATTCGCACCAAAGTCAGAAAGGTGGGTCGTGCCAAAATCTCCGGAGCCACTTGAGCAAAGAGTGGCCGCTTGGCACACCTAGAGAGACAAATTGTGCTGGTGCTTCAAGGAGTTCAATGATACCAGTAATGGGCTTTTCATGCTGATTTGTAAGAGAGTGCTGGATCTCGGCCTGACTACTACAGTACATCATTCCTTTGATTTTAAGTCAGCAGTTCGCAGCAACTGCCTCACTGTGTATAAGTCACGGGACATCACGGGACCTTTATCGATGTGTGTGTGTGTGAATATGCGGATTTCATCTCACCCACATTGCATGGCATGGACAGTCATACCAAGCCGAAACCCAAACGATCTCATCTCATCACATGGGCGGACTTCATCACCGCAGATCGCTGCAGGCTGGACCCGTGCCCACCGATCAACCACTGAGCGAATCGATGCCGGTCGGTGTCTCAGTGCGAGCGACTCGGCTAAGGTGGTCCGCAGCGCTGGCACCTGCTCATCCAAGAGGATCTCCTTGGAGCTTCCAGCAAGTCCAGGGCAGGATCTTTTTGTGGTTGGAGGCCATCATAGGCCATCGCTGGTAGGTTGGAGGCCATCGCTACTAGGTTGGAGGCCATCGCTACTAGGGTGGAGGGGTCTTAGCTGCGGTGGCAGTCGTTCCCCACTCGCCCATGGGTGGCCATTGGCAAGACCGATGCGAGAATTTTGCATGTAAAGATAACAATGACCGTTGGCACCGGTTTCTGTCACTTCTGTAGCTACACTTGTTCACAAACAAACTCAGAAATCTGCATACACCGCTGTCAGATCTTTATGGATCTTTGGTCTTTGGTTGTTCCACCACACGTTGGGAAGTGTTTCACCCGGCCGTGCCCCTTCGCCAAGGCACTGCATCAGCATTCACCCAGGGTCTTCGTCCACCCTCTCCCAAACGCCTGGGGATGGCCATTTGAAGCACCCAAACTGAGCCCACCCAAATGCGACCCATTCGGGTCGGAGGGTCGAACGTGCGCATGGGGCCCTTGTTCGATTTAGCGCGCTCCCCCCTGCCTCAAGGGAGAAGTTCGCTCCCTAGCTGCTCAAGCTACTACATATGGACGCAGGAGAGCTCACACTAATGAATGGGTTCCTAGATGTTTAGGGAAGCTAAACTAAACTAAACCTTGCGTGATAGTATGGGGGCTTCCTCACTGACTCGCGTATCACATGTCCAAGAAGGAGTTGACATGTCAGCTGCGACGAGTCATCTTCTGGTGCACTTGCGAAGGTACTTGCACCCCTTTGGTTTGGGAGCCAACAAACAATATGCAGTACCTGTCTTTGGGTTCCATAAAAGAGCCGAAGAGCCTGACCTGCTGACTCGCACAAAGAAAAAGGAGAACATGACTCAAAACCTCCTCGACACACAAACCATGACAAACACATGCTTCATCTCTTTTTCTCCAACTCTTCCAAGTCTTCTCCCATCCAGCCCCTCCCCAAAAAACTGACACGCACATCAAGAACAATCTAGCACCCTCCAGGGCCATTGGCTTTAGATGCTCTAGACCCAAACAGAAATTCCCAGACCCTCCCGTCTGTTGGGACAAAAGGCCGAGCACTCACCTCACATCGACCTTCGTCCAATGCCCACAGCTCGCTTTGGATCTCCACCGTATCCTCGCTTCGCAGGGACGGCAGCGCACGGGGACGGCACGGCACGGCGGACTGGACCGGTTTGCAGGGACTTTCAAGCTGGGCGAAAATTGAATCACGGGCAGGATTCCAGTATGCCCACTTTTTGGAAGCACCATAGCATGGATGCTCTTGCTCAGGCTCTTCCTGATTCTCACCTGGGTTTTGATCTCATCTTGAATGTATCTTTCATCATATGATATGGCATCTGTCTTGCTCTGGAAAGGATTTGCTCAAAGGACGCACTATGACACTAATTGTCAGGAACCCCACCATCAAATACTAGACATCCGACCAGTACCAACGTCGTGTAACCATTCTTCTGTAAACATGCTTCCCCAACGGTGCCATCTGTGTCTTTACCTCACCAATGAACCCACTCCCGCTACCCCACGTCGTTTCGGGCGCCTCGTTTCGTGCGGGCTCTTTGGCCTGGCAAGGAACGGACGCGAAAAAGTCATCAGTCTCTTGTGAACATCTCGAGGACCTTTTTGGTTTTTGCCTTTTTTAGCACGTAGGCCGAGGTAGCTAGTAGAAGAGGTAGCTAGTAGCTACTTAAGCTACTACCTAGGACGCAGGATAGCTTCCTTGAAGAAGCGCTTGCACTCATGATTTGGTTCCTAGACTTTCAGGGAAATCTAAGTAATCTCCACAATTGATGTCACCCACCAGTGTTTGATATAGTCCAAAGCTCAATCTGACAATGCAACCTTCACGATATGGGTCCCATACCCACATGCACTAAGCAAACACCTAGGATCCCCCTTCGAAGAACACAAGTCAAATCGATTGAAATAACGGTTAGGCCAAGACGAAGCCACATGAAGCCAGGTGTTGACAACATGTTGACTCAATGCTCGCAGTGGTACAAATCAAACATTGCATTTAACAATATACTGTATATCTTTTGGGAATTGCAGTAATTGTAGAGCAGTTCAGTCCAGAGCTCCCAATAGATGCTGGAAACAAATCTCTCACCATTTCTGTACCAACCACCCACGCCACCCAGAGTTCTCACCAGTTTAGATCTTTTCCACCGCCCTCGTTGTTTTGACTAGCCGTGCCTGCAAGCGCAACGCAAAGTCGTAGAGGGCGCTGGCCAGTTGAGAGCTGGACAGGGCTGCACGACGCAAAACGCCTCAGGTTCTGATGGTGGGCGTGAAAATTGTCTGGCGTGATCTGACTGAGGTTGCTGTTGAGCGCCAAAGCGTCACAAACTCAAGCACATTCAGTGATTAGGATCAGGAAGGGTGGGGGAAAGGCGGGGTAGGAAATGGATGGAAATGGAAATACTGAAATACTTAAAAAAAGATGTTGCTCAGTAAGAGCTAGTAGATCTAGCAGGGGGCAGTACGGGATCTAGTAGGGGCTGGTAGCGCTTGCTGAGGTTTGGTAGTAGAGGTCAGTAACTCTCAGTCTGCTTTCCATGTTTGAACACTGCTAAGGACTAGCAGCCCTCACTAAGGCGAATGTGCTCATAGAGTAGCTACAAGAGGATGGCAAGGAGGAGTTGGGAAAATGAGTACTATACTATTCTTGGAAAGCAGGCTGAGCACTACTTACTAGGCCTTATTGAAGCTTCGTTGAGGCTTAGTAGCTCTGGGTAAGGCTTTGTAGTGCTTAGTGCTTGGAGCTAGTTGAGGCTTAATAAGGTTTGAGAGTGGAAACCCATCAGTTGGAGAATGTTCCAGAGGCGTCTTCATGACTGACACCCTCAGTTTCTCTGGAAAATCAAGGTTCATACAACTTTCCCTGTTGGATTTGAGTGGAATATATATATATATATATACACGTCCAATCCCTCCAAGGGTGGGCAGATCATGTGATTGTTGTTTTTTCTTGGTAGCATGATCTTCATTGATCTTCATTCATGGCATCTTCTCCACTCACATTTTCCCTTCTGTTTATATCGAGTTCGAGCTCAGTAGCTGAAGAGGATCTCTCGCAGGGCACCTGGAGGCACCTGTTCTCGCAGCGCCTCAAATGGGAGTGTCGAAGCAATTGGTCCGCTGGGATAGCTTGCGAACGGAGGCGAATGGGAAATTTGTCATGAAAACAAGGACTGCTGCATGCTGAGCCCCAAGGCAGAGATTGTGGAACAAAACAAGTTTGGGAGGTTCAGTTGATCACATCTCCCTTAACTTAATGACTACAGTATATATACACACATACTGTCATTCGGAACTTCTAGATTTAAGAGATATATATGTGAAGTAAGGTATTCAGGCTGCATACACAACAAAGAAGAACATGACAAAGTACTGACAGACTCGTCATCTCACTGTTTCAAGAAAACGGCTGGGTCTGTATGACACCCAACCAATGGGTGTTGTTCTATTTTCTTTCTTCCAGGGGGTCTTTGGGAGGTCTCCCTAATTTAATATACCCAGCTTGCATATGGTCCATATGGTCATTTCTGCCAGCGCAAACCAGCCACGTCGATGCTGCGCAACATCGCCATCTCCTGAGACCTTTCAATTCCTTGGTCGGTCATCTGGTTGGAGTTGCTGATTCGGACGCGGGGCGTGACAACAGATTCCCCAGTTTTGGAGATTCACCCAGTTCTCACTTCTCATGTTCGAACCTAACTAGGAGCAAGAAGCTACAGTACTAGGAGCAAGGGCATCGCTACTAGGGGCTCCTGGCATCGCTACTAGGAGCATTCTTACGCTAATTTCAACTCACCCAGTTTGGGAAAAGAAACATGTAAAAAATACAAGCTGCCAAACCGGTCTCAAAACCGGTCGCGTCGACGATGCATCGTGCCAGAACTGCCGGAACTGGAGAACCGAGACATGGACCCGGAGACGTGGCAGTGGAGGTTCTTTTTGGAGATGCAGCGGGGCTGCTTTTTCATGGCAGAGTGGTACCAAGTGGTACCTCCTCATCATGAAAAAGTGGAACATCGCACAACGTGGCCCTACATTGTAGAAAAAAGACTCCTTGCAAGGGTCCATCTTCTATGTTCAGTAGTTGAAGCTCACACGAATAAACGAAATCACCTGGCAATTGTTCCTCCCGCAGTGAAGCATCCTACACACCACATGCACTCGTTTGTTTAAGCCTTTGGTCTTCCAAAGGTTCAATTTGGCGGATCCATGCTACTTGCTGTAGCTGCAAACTTACTCCACCGCATCTTTGAGCGGGACGGCAGTGGTCTGTGGGTGGAACAATATACTCTGGTCTAATATGTATGTACTATAATACAACGAACAAACACAGTATTAGACATCCCGTCAAATTTATGATGTGCGGTTTTTGCATCATCAAATTTGTGAGTCCCTGATCGGTTCCCAATGTTTTGGAACCTTGTTGCAGGGTATCAGGGTATCCTTTCTTGTGAGCCCCCTACCGTTTGCCAGGGTCTGGAGCATTCCAGCATATGAATGACATTATTGTGCAAATTGTAATCATCACAAATGTTTAAGGCACTTCGCACGACAAAGCGAAGCGTTCACCAAAACAAGCTTCAACCAGCAAATCCACGCAGACGGAGGATACAACATGGGGATCATTACTTTGCAACTTGTAGATAGTACAGCTATGTCGGTTCGGTTCAGGCCAGGTGCCAGCGTAGATCTCTGCAAATCTTCCAGTCTCCTAGAAGAGGAGACTGCAAAAACGCACAGAGGTCTCAAAGCCATCAACAGGATCCTGTTGTTAACCCATATTGACAGGTTTCTCCAGTTTGCACAGTTTGTGGGCTAAAAACGACACCCATCACAAGTCGGCTGAATAAAGAATCCCTACACCTCCAAGTACCTCCTCAGAACGCTCCCACCCCGCCCCAAACACCTGAAGACTCACATGAAGATACCTGAAGAACCTGAAGGTAGTTGGAGTCCTCTACAACAGTCTTCCACAGACTCAAGATGTCTCAAGTCCTTGAACCTCTGAGTCGATTGAGCCTCAGGTGATGCGATCGCTGATCGTCAGGTTGCAGCAGGGAGGAGCCCGACATACATTTGGGTACCATCTCCTTTTCGTCAGTGTTATGTGGACACAGGATACGCATGGATTGATTCCAAATGGATACAGTGTTCTCGAAGCCACGTTGGCATACGTTCCAACATTGATCCCACCCGTCTCGGTGCTGATACTACTACTGCATCCTAAGAACCTATGGCTGTGGGTCGCAACCTGAACCCCAAAAGTCCCTGGAATGTTGACATGCCCGCGTCACTATACATTCAGTTCCTTAGTGGTGCCTTTTTTGGTGGGTCAAACAGGGCTCCCGGGGACATAGCAATGGCCTCCAACCACCCTAATTAATTGCAATGGCCTCCAACCCAAGAGCGATGGCCCCCAACCTACTAGCGATAGCCTCGCCATGACGAAAAACCTGGTGACCTGGTCTCGCTGAAACCTTCCGAGGCACTGCATCCTGGCGGACATTGCTGAAGATGTCGCGAGCGCCCTACAGTGGGCTGGGCGTGTCTCACCGAGCACAAGAAAAATTTGTCTGAGAACACGTGGCCTTTTTTCCACATTCATTATGTTTCTCAAGAAAATGTGTCATGCAGGTGAAGCATCAGCATGGTCCTGCTTGGAGCTGCTTTAACCTCAACCTTCAATACATAGTTCTCTAGTATAGTATAATATAGTATATTAATATATCATATATATATATATTCTTTTTTGTATCATTGGTTATACGCAGGTCATATTCCAGGGTAGGGCAGGGAATCCCCCAGGCCTGGAAGAAAAAGTTGGGCATCACAAAGCCTCCGCTGGACGCCAGGGCGTTGCCGCCGTCGAAGTCGACACCCCGCAAGTTGTTCACGAAGATGGACCTGTCGATTCAATCTCAACCAGTGCTGGTTTGATTCTGTCTCTTTGTTAAACCTTTGGTGCGGGGTCTGTGTCTTAAGTATCTTAAGTCTGAAATCTTATTGTTTTAAAGAATATTTTGCCAAGAATCCGATGGGACTGGAAGAATTACTTTCTTACATTTGACCATTTGACCCTTCAAACATCTGAAAACCATCCCAAATGGAGAGAAATATTCCATACATCATGGATTGTCTAGGTTCATTTTCATGGACTCGGAGATCGTCACTGGGGAGGTCGTCTCCAGCATGTTTCAACCATGAGGAGGTCGAGTGCAGGGCTTGGTGGATGAAGAAAAGGGACCTACAGTATATATCTGACAGGTTCGTCGAAGATGTGATGAATGACATGGTGGCTGGGAATGCACAGCGTTCTTGTTACCAGTAGCGATGCCAGGAGCCCCTAGTAGCTTCTTGCTCCTAGTAGCGAGGCACTTGTTTCTAATAGCTGTTTGTTACTAGTAGTAAGGCACTTGTTACTACTAGCGTGGCACTTGTTACTAATTCTTCCACTGATTCTGCTGGTGTCTGGCGTGATCCGAGCACGTCTCTCTGGTGAACCATCGGTGCTCGACATGGATCGCTCCGGACGGATCGCGGTCTGTCCCACTCCAGGGTGGGTGACTGTGACTGGCTGCGCCGGGCAGGTCGTTCCCAAAGGCATCATGTCATGGCTGGTGGACCGCCCTGACCTGGTCAAACGTCACTATGGACCTTTGTATGGATATCCTCTTGGGTTTCTCGTCCCAATGGATCCAGGCAAACCACAATGCTGCTGGTAACCAGTGGTTCCAAAGACGATCAAACCATAGACCGAACGAAGGCCTGGTTCCTTGTACCTGGAGCTTCCAACTGTGAACAAATTACGCATTGTCGTCTCTAAAACCAGCCGAAAGGCAGAACTGTTGCATAGTAAGAAGATCAAATAAAGTGGTACAGTAACATGTTTGGGCTCTAAGTATTTTATGGTATAAATATATATATATTAATATATGCATTATAAATATATATATATGGATATCGGATATCCTCTGGGTATTCTCGTGGTATTACTATAAAGATATGTCCAATGGCCGTGGTGGCGAAGAACCAACGACTGCCCACCCGCAGTGGATGCGCCACATCATCCTTCCAAGCTACAGCCCCCCCCAGCCAAGTGGGATTTGAAATCGATGTGTTGAGCCCGGAGCCCCAGCCAAGTGCAGCTGAAACATAGCATTGTTATTCAGTCACTAGATCCATGAAGATCATGCAGTAGAGTTTGTAAAGGTGTCCACTGAAAAGGACAGAAAATCAGGAATTCTATCTGTAGACAGGGATGCCCATTTGAGCCACGATCACAATTTGTTACATGGCCTCTTCTCGCCAGTCCCCTATCGCTTACAGAGTTTGCATGTTGTTCCTGAATGCCAGTGCAAGAGAGCTCTTGGACAAGTCTTCCGGCCAATAACTGCGTGGGGGAGTAGTTTCCCGTGGCATTCCCGTTCAATTCTTGGTTATTGTGCTGTTAACATTCAGATTATCGTTCTAAGCTGATGCATTGTTGCTGGAGAGTTCGATTAAATCGCCATTCGCCAAGCAGCGGCCGCGGCCCAGTTTCTTTCCCCCTTGTCCTCCCATCAAACCCCCCATCTTCACCCGCCAGGTGGCAGCACTGCCGCAATGGTGGAGACCGTCCCAAAGACTCCAACCAGAATCCCCAGACCAAAGCTATCCACACCCACCTGAGCCGTGTGTTCTTTTCGGTAAAGTGCATATATACACTGCTGGGGTACCTACGCTCGGGGTTCCGCGGAACAAACATTTGTGGAAAGGGTGGCTTCAGAAGGCTTCGCACAAAACCAGGGGCTTCGCGAAGTGCTTTCCACCTTTTTTGTTTTCTACAAGTTGGCCTTCACGAATTGGTTTCGTCTACGTGATATCCAAGAGGCCAGAGCCTTCGGCACAAAAAATGTACTGTATCACTATATCACACTATCACACAAAAGCCTTCGCGAATATTGGCGGAGTTGTATTACAATATATTACAGTGTAATTGAACATGATCATGTCTTAGTTTTTACGCTGCCCCGTACTCACCTGGCCGGTGTCCTGCGTGTCCCGCACGTCCCGGCTTCAGGTGGCAAACGGCAACACGGACGACTGGTCAGGTGGAAAACAAGTCTGCGGGCCAAATATGACGGGAGGTGCCTGCAGGTATGGATTTCTGATTCCCGAGCCGCTTCCCTGGAAAATAAAGGTGATAACCTGTTTCACCTGTTCTTGTTTAGTGGGGAACCAAACCCAAAACATGGTTCAAGATGGTTACAGTAAAGGTTGCGCACTGATTGGGTACGATACGGGCACACAAGAACTACCCGCACATCTTCATTTGAGTGTAACCAAAAAACACGGAACGAGCTGGATATTCTAAAGTTTCAAGAAACGATTTATGAACGTTCTACAGTCGTTTCAATGCACCCTTAATCCACTCACGCTGCACACTCCATGCGCAAGGCAAAACCATTCTGACTTATATAATGCCTCCTACATGCAGCTGCATCAGCCAAGGCTCTGAATCCAAGTAAGTGTCAATTGCAGATGGCGCTACCTGACAAACACCCCGTGGTAGAGGCTTCCTGGACCCTATACCTCAGCACTGCGCATCGTTGCACGGCCCGCGCTCCGAACAAAGCAATCACGCAAAGAAAGGCTTTCCATGGCCATCACCAAAACCCTCCAATGATCTCTTGAATTGAAATGTGGGATCGGCTCCAGGACCATTCCCTTAAAATCGGGGATCACCATCAGAGGACCGAATATTTTCCTTTGAGCATAAAGGCCAAGGCCGCATCAGCTCCAACTGCGTGAGGGTCTGAGTGGGGCGGCTGACTGGACACTTGGGTTTATTGCTACCAGAAGTTTGACTATTCCCCAGCTGGTGGTTTACCCACAATGTAGACGTAGGGTTAACATACCGCCCCTATCAGTTTGGTCCACCTCGGGGCCTCCAATAATCAACACCTTTCAAGCAAACTTTCCGCCCAAAAATTGAAAACTTTGCTTAACCCCTCCAATTATATACTTTGGTCCACCATTTTTGATGCAGTTTTTTGCTTCCTGGCCAGTTTGCCTCTTGGCTGGCGCCGATCGGCTGATCTTGGCCCATCCCCTGATGGAGCAGTGAATAGAGCCCTTGCAGCAAGTGGGCTCGTAGTTGGTGATTGCAATGAATCTGAACTCCTCATTGACACAAACTGCCCAGTCTGATGCTCATCCTGCATTGTGGAACCCTGCGTGTGTTCCAATGGCTCTTCTTCCATATCTTCAGCCTCATCCTTCTCACTGGATTCTCCTTCTCCAACACCTCTAATGCATCTCAATGCTTCCTGGACCCATCTCATAAATTGATCTGGCCACAGTTCACCTCAAATCACCCAGAATCTCAAAACCACTCCCAGAAAATCCGGTATACAATGTTATAAAGCCCTACCACCAAAAAATAGTTTTCAAGCTCCCAAAGAAAGTCTACATAATCCCTCTATTCATGTACTCCCCGATTAATTTGGTCTGCCCCAGCCTTGAATAGTTTATGAATTGATATGAATTGCCTAATCATTGCAGTAATCAATTCACCACCCTAAAAGCGTCCCAAGCGCCTCAATTGTCATGAAAATAACTTAGTCTTTGGGCCTCTCCTCATGAAGAGATTTTGTCTTGGTGACCTCTCCTGATTGACCTCCCAAAATAGAAATGGAATTGCAACCTTGAGGGGGGTGTTTATTAATCGGGTGTTCCCATTAGGGAAAACAAACATCACCCTAAGACCCTAAGCAAAATCAGATCTTTGTCGAGTTTCAGGCGATTTTAGAGCTGTCCTCTCCCTTTCATCCCTCTCACCTCACGATCACCCTGAATTGAGCTCAAAAGCTTCGACATGAGGCTGATGGCCTGGCGCGTGGCAATGCGTGGAACTTCACCGAAATGATTCAAAGGAGAGCCGTCGAAAGGACACAAACCACTTGAGAGACATGCACACCCTTCCCGAAGGCTGAGACATGGCCGAGCACATCGAGATCAAAGAATCTGATACTCACTCACGAGAGATCGGGAAGAAAGGTCGGCTCCGGATGATCCAGCCTGAGTTGGCCAGGACCAATGGCAAAAGTGTCCTCTGGCCGAACGAGGCAAACCCAAACCTCAAGAAAGCGAGCAGAGCAGACGGTCTGAAAGCTTCAGAAGCCTCCCAATATGAGCTATGGTCAAAACCTCTTGGTTTTTCCACTTCTCCAAATGAATAAACATGTCTTATACCCAGTAAAGTAGTACGCCGCACAGCTATCACGAAAGGCTCACTCCCCTAAAATGGCACAGCGACATTCAAGGTGTTTGAATGCTTCTGCTATGTCTCCCAATCAAACATCTGCAGAGCTGGTCAACCTCTATACACGTATACACCAGAAAGCTACTGACAACAGGAAAAGCAACATCTGATCAGTGGCCAACTGAAAAAAGGGTCCAAGGCAGGCTGTTACCTGGGCAAAGCGCAAAGCAAACTCAGACTCCAAGCGGCTGCATATACTATAAGCAAGGTGAACCCCGGCGATTTGCGGCTCATGGCCGCTCCCTTCAAACGTACTCAGCGCATGGCCCGGCGCTGGAAAGATGGAGATACTGATCAAGGGAGGGCTGATCTGAAGTCACAGTGGGTAAAAAATAGCTGGTTGGAACATGTTGGAACTCCAGTCCATCCGTTTGTGTCTTCTGCTTGCGTGCGTATTGTCTCTGGCTCACCCATGCAAGGAGTTTCATATTGATTATTGATTTAATTCCTTTCCTGGAATCGCTGGGTTTGGGGCCACGTATCAGCTGAGATCCAAATGGAGGTCAGCAAAATGGAAGGTCATTC